TTTCTTTTGTGGTGTTTAAATTAAAGTCTAATATAATTGAATTGTAAATGACCAAGAAGCAAAATTATTTAGAGATAGTTTCAGAGAAGAAATGAAGTCACATGTCAATTCTCCTATTATCAAACTCTAAGAATCTACTGATCGAAACATAAAGCTGGCAAGAGGACATTTCCACGTGCCACATAAGGATCATTATTATGGTCAAGGAGTTATAATTTTGAGTATTTCAGATCCTGAGATTTTTTTCCTGTACGCATTATGGTGTCTAAGAAGGGTTTTATGGTACTCGACTTATTTTACAGATATTATATCTAAAGGAAGTTAGCCATTCCCCTCAATACACTCTTTTGAGATGAACCAATATGTTGTTAGCTAAAGAAACATATTTTTATTTATTTTCAGTTACTCTACAATACAAAAGGACTATTCATTTCAAGTTGTAGATTTCTGTCAGCATGCATGGCAACTAATAGTCTACTGACTCCAGTCTTTGGTCTGTGCTGTTAAAATTTTCATAAGTAATCTTAATAAAGATTAGATGACTTAAATAAAAGTGCAGATTTCATTCAGTAGGTAGATTTGACAAGATGCAATTTAATGTCCTTTTCAACTGTAAGATATTAAGATTCTGATAGGAAATCACAGACTGTGACAGCTGGAAAGAACCTTAATGATATTCTCATCTAAACTCATTATCTTATAAGATATCCAGAGGCAGACTGACTTGTCCAAATTCATGCAGTGAATTAATAGAACCGACAGAGCTAGAAGTCAGGTTTCTTCACTCTTAGTCTAGTTAGTATTCCTCCATTGTTCTGCACTATATCTATAGGAGTTACTTCTTGGTTGGAGAAGAGTAATGAATTTAAATTAATTTAGGTCGTTTGGCATGAATTTGGTTGGTGAGATAAAAAACTAAGGCAAAGGTAGAAAATAAATTGTAGGAAAACTAAGCTGAATTATGATATTTAAGGGTGACTCTTAACTTTTTATTTTTTTAAACTTCATACAGTTGAACAAGTGATTCAAAATCCAGAATAGCCACATAATTAAATATAAAAGCAATATAAGCTGTTAAACCTTATAACTACCAAGTGCCAAGCTCTTGAGAGATGGAGAAAGGCTGACAAGGCTTTCAACGGGAATGATAAATGCAATCCAACAGTTAAAACATTAGAATGTGCAAAATTTACAACAAACAACAGAAAGAACATAATCTCAAACACGAAAAGGATACTGTTTATTTTGCCTTATAGTTCTATATCAATCCTAGATGATGCTGCCATAAGAACAGCATCTTGGTCTGCATGAAGATCTTTAACTTGGTCAGAAATAATTGCTCTTTTTATTTATTCATCACTCAATATGTGGCAGGCAATTTAATATATATCATCTCATTTAATCAGTAAAACAACATTATGAGGTCAATAACCTTATAATTTTCATTTTAAAAACTAAGAAGTGGGCCGGCCGAGTGGCACGATGGTTAAGAACTGGCTTGGGACGCCAGAGGACCCCGGTTCGGATCCCACATATGAGGGCCAGTGACACTGCCCTCCACAGCTAAGATGCTGAACAACGGCTCAACCTGGAGCTGGGCTGCTGTGAGGCGCCAATGATGGTGTAGGCTGCAGCCCCTGTGGCAGTGGGTTGCAATGGGCTACCCTATGTAGCCAGCAGCCAGCGTGAGTGGCCAGCAGCCGCAGTGAGCAGCCGTCCAGAAGCCAGGGACTGATCTGCCTCGCCCGGGAAGAGCGCAATGATGGTGCCAACTTGGGCCAGTGAAGCAACGCCCTCCACAACTAGATTGAAAAACAAAAAAATGACAGCAACTTGTTTGTTCCCCTTCCCCCAATTTCCTAGCACTGTTCCCATTACCCAATTCCCCAATAAAAATCTTTAAAAAAACAAACAAAAAAAACCCTAAGAAGTAAAGGCATAGAAATTTAAGGGACATTTTAAGGTTATAGCTTGTTATTGTAGAATTTGGCTTAGAATCCTGGCAGTCTGACTCTAGAATCTTTATATTTAATTGCTTATTTACTATAATGCAATTATGATATTTAATTATTGGTAAATCAACAGCAAATGTTGATATTTCGCCCTCTGGTGGTTCGGAGGTGCCACTGCAGTTGTTATCATGTGCATACTTCAAGACCAGGAGAGACCAGGGAATTGTTCAACTTTTAGTAGCAAAGTATCCAGTCACCATAAGCAATCACATTACTATTTGCACTTATTTCTCAAGAATACCAGGAGATAGACTGCATAAGTACCATTATTCAAGTGACTACAAAGCTAATCCCTCGTTTTTAATAGATTGCATAAAAACAATTGCAAGGTGACCAGTTGCCCTAACCTACGTCATTCCATAGTAATAAGCCAGGTAACTCCCTCTATAAATCCAGCACCAGCCAAAATCTGTATTTACTCATTGATTCAAAATTCTACGCTAGAACACCGACTAATTCAGCACTCAAATAGAATACACAAGTTAATGCCTCATCTCGAAGAGAACAGAACTCACAGAGTGCTTTATTCACAAATGACAGACCTAACATTAGTCTCCGACATTTGGAGATTTGGAACCGCACAGGTATTCACTAATTTACTACACGTGGTGAGGTTAATAAGAAGGCTGTCTGCTGGAAACAATTGTGTGAATGCTTGCCCAGGTGATGTCCTGCCATTGCAACTCAGAATTTGTCAACAGGACTCTGTGCTGACAGCGTAAAGTTGGGCCCTTTTTCATAGCAAAATCTCTTTAAAACATGCCTATGGACAATCAAGCATTATTTTTAAATAATTGACTCAGCTTTTGTTATGCTATTAAGTGGCTTCCTTACTAATTTTGTTCTTATTACACAAAAGGGTAACTCAAAGGTAAGCGTTTTTTTTTTCTTTAAGCTCTGTACCCTTGTCAATCTTGGAAATCTTGGGTATGTCAAGGTTCAGAGATGTATCTCTTCAGATATTTAACTATAATTGAAATAAATGTTTATGTATCACCTTCTATTTATTAATTTAAAAAAATACCTTTATGGAGCTGTTTTGATGTGTCAGCCAGGCACTGTGCTCAGTGTATTGGAAATACAAAAGTGAGAAAGCTATACATACAAGAGTACTTCCTGCCTTGATGGAGCTCACAGTGGAGTGGGAAAGACACAATGAAGAAACAAAACCATTGTAAAGTGAGATAAGCTCTATGAAGGAAAAAAAATTAGACCCTGAAAATGGAATCTGTTTTCAAGTAGGGTGATGAAGAAAAGCCCCTGTCAGAGTTAACTCTTAAGCAGAGACACAAAAGATGAGGCAAACAGCTGTGTATAGAGCAGGAAAGGATAACGAACATATGAAACAGCTAGCCGCATGTGCAAAATTCTGAGGCAAGGGAAGGCTTTATATGCTCAAAAACAGAGGAGAGGCCTGAGAGAATGGAGCATGTTGGGCAGAGAGACATGACAAGATTTGGAGTTGGAAAAATAGGTAGCAGCCGGGTCTCACAAGGTGTTGTGGGCCAAGCTAAGGGGAATGGATCTTATGCTAAGGGCAACGAGAACCCATTTAATACTTTTAAGCACTGGAGAGTCACAAACTACAGTGAAAGCCTCTGTGCAATGATCAATACAAATATGCATCAGAATTAAATGGGTTGTGTCAGGGTTCATGTGGAGGGCATAATGGAGTCTTTCGTCACACAAGAGTGGCCATTCACAATTATAAATAACTTGCATGTGTTACAAAGGCATTGTACATAAGTTGAGTGTACAGCTTCTCAAGCTGAATGCACCCAGATGCGTCCTTTTAAATATATAATATCCCCCAGTCCATCACATATCAAGGAAGAGTTTGCATAAGAGTTGTTCAAAGTTCCTGAATGTTCTTGGTTTCCTTCCAAGCTAAGAAAGGGATACCAGAGTGTCATGCTTAGAATATACTTCTGTTGTTCCACCGCCATAAGCTGAGCTAAGTAAATTATAGAATGTGTTGTAGAAATGGTGCTGGTGCGTCTCATACTGTGAGTATGAAACTACACTAAACAGCACCTGCCCATGTGTAAACATAGGCATTTATCACCAGCTGGCAGTCCAGAAGATGAACCATTGAGATAACGAAAATGAAAAGCGCATCTGAATCAGGTTTGTTACAAAGGCAAATTACCAATCTTGGAGATGCACAAATAGAACTAAACAAAATACTTTTATGATGTATAAAATACATCATAATAAAGAATGTTTCACAATCCACTGGCAATTCAGAGGAAGCAGCAATAACTTCTAAACAGGAAGATCAAGAAAAAGCTTTATAAGGGAGCAACATTAAAATTTGGCCTTCAATAAGATGAGGGGAACAAAATGTTTGACAAAGGGAAAGATGTTTATAGGGCAATGACCACATTCAGTATCTTGGGTGAACAGTACGAAGCAATTTCATTGTGGAGTCCTTTTCTCTATTCTGACCAACTGGGCAGACCAAGATTTGAATAAAATGAGGGTAGGCTCAATTGGATTGATTTCTGACCAAAAATGACTTGACCATATTATCACTTTCTGCCCAGGTGGTATCTCTCAGAACTCCAATGCTGAATATCAAGCAATATTCCATTGGCTGTTTCCACATACTCGTACATTTCTTATTATCTATTTACCAATATGGAGAGTCACAGTGACTCAGGAAAAATAAAATTTAGCTTGGGTGACATGTTGGGACTCATATTTAACAAACCCGTCCCTGATGAGTCAGCTTTGGGGCTAACATGAAAGCCATTTCAAAGGTTCAAAATGGACTGGCTTCTTTGTTAATAAGACGTCTTCTTCACATATAACTAAACAAAGTGCTAATGAGATGTTATCCTTCAAATTAGCTTAAGCAATGAGGTGGAAAGGAGCTTGAGAAGAAGCCAACACCCAGTTTTCTGAGTATATAATCTCCCGAGCAAAGAACTTCAGACCCAGCATGTTAGGTCCTTATAACCAACTTCAGTCAAGGCTTTTAACAATATGTCCCAGAGTCACTGCCACTCGCTCAAGAGCTCCTACAGTGTCCCACCACTCTCTGCCATCGTGCATGGGTCTAATCCTGTAAGCTTTGAAGATGGATTTTTTCTACCCAGCAGCTGCCATGGCAGGACCTGGCTCTTGGACAACTTTCAAGAAGCCTGCAGTGAAACCACCAGCAGCCAAGTGCCCAACTGTGAACGGGAGCTGTGTACAGAGGACAGTGGTGTACAACGTGCTTGCCTCCACAGAGTTACCCAAACTACTTGTTCTAGTTTCAGGCCCCATGCAAAGACAACCTACAAACCAGAAAGTTCTTCGGCAGTATTGAAGTGTGTTTCTCAGCCTTGTCAATCAGGAAGCAGCCAGCGAAAGGGTCTTGTAATCCAGAACTGTCAGCCTGTGAGCTATGCAGCAAAGTGTTGTCCACCCAAGACTTATGTGTCGAAGAGTTGCCGAGCTCTGGCACATGAATCCAGTCAATGCCAGACTCAGAGCCCTGAATCCAGTTCCTGCAAACCACTGGTCGTCACAACAGGGCCACAATTCCTGGAAGCTTCTAATAATTATGAGCCAACTTGCTGTGTTACTGGTGGTTTGCAATTGCCTAGTAAGTGAAGAATGTGCACAATGTGTAGGGGAGATAACATTCTAATTGGATGAACTGATTCCTGAGATATTTAGAAACTTTTATTTCTATAAATACAAATTATTGTGCATGTGTTTGTAAGTGAATTAACATGTCTTCTGCTATTTCCAAAGAGAAAAAAAAGTTTGATTTTTTTGCTCTTTTGGGCCTTTCTGGTGCTGAGCTGGGATTGGAAAGCATGTTAATTATTTTAGATCACTAGGACACTATTTGTTATAGATCAATAAAAGTTTCAACCAGGGACTAACATGAGTACTTAAAAAGTCAACATTACATTACACTGTGACTACTGGTTATTATCTATGAAAGCACTTAGCATTGAATCTGGTATATAATATAATATAATATAATATAATATAATATATATAATATACAGTAAATATTATGTATTGCTAATATCAGAAATCTATAGACCCAAGATGACATAGTTCCTGCTTCCTTCCATGAACACATTAAAATTACAACTAAATTATAGAACAATCAACTTGGAGAACTATCTGAAGTCTGGCTGAACAGAAATTTTATAACTAAGGATATAAAGAAGCCACATTGAGACTGGCAAGAGGGGTGGAGACACAAAACAGGTGAGCCCCCAACCTCCATGTGGCAGTTGAGAATCTGAGGGATATCTTGGCTGTGGAGGTTACCCCCAAAGGAGCAAGAAACCAAAGCCCCACACCAGGCTTTCCAGCCTGGGGTACTGGTGCAAGAAGAGGAGCCCCCACAACATCTGGCTGTGAGAAACAGTGGGGGTTCTAACTATCCGGGTGGGACAGAAAGCTGTGGGAAACCCAGATGTTCTCTGAAGGGGCCTGTGCACAGACTCTCTCACTAGCAGGCACTCACCTTGGGCTCCTAGGAGGGACGGTGACTCAGCGGTGTCAGAGGCATACAGGGGGCAGACTGGGGTGTGTAGCTTTTGGGGCAAGGGCTGGAGGACAGTTGCCATTTTCCCTGTGAGGGAGCCTTGTCCCATGCAGCCAGCAGGTAGGTGCCATCTTTCTTGTACTGAGCCCTCCCCCAACAGCTGAATCTGAATCTGATTGGCCTGGTGAGCTCTGCTCATTGAACCCTGCTGATTCGCTGGGACCCTGCTCTTCCATGAGCATTCAACCCCATCCACATTGCACTCTTTCTTGGGAAACTATCAGAGTTCACCAGGTGGGCAGCAACTGGTCTTGGTGTGCTCTGAAACTTTTGCTGAGTAGCTCCAGGTTCAGCATTGGCACCAAACTAAAATGTACTACATTAACTTGGTGATTACAATTCTTTCTATTTTAGAGTTTATTTGAGACCAGCCTCATTCAACTTTCATACTGCACGAGGCATTATTAGTGACTGAACCTGAAGGGAGCTGGCAGGTGGCAGCAGACCTTGGGGTGTCCTGGCTTTTTGCAGAGTTACCCCAGGCTAGGTACTGGAGGCAGAAGTCCTCAGTTCACAGTGTGGCCCCTCCCACTTGCCTCCAAGTTTAGCACAGGCAGTAAATAACCACAGATCACTTTGTAGCTCCCCAGTCAGTCACAGGCAGCAGGTGACCTGGGCATGTTCCAGAGCCAAGAGGCCCCAGAATGAACATACTTGGAGGTTGGCTTTAGACCACAGCAGAGCACCACCCAATTAGACCCACAGCTGACATACCCAAAGGGCGGCCTCAACAGCCACCAGAGTCCACTGGGCAAATCCCACTCAGTGGTATAAGACCTCCACAGAGCAGCCTGTAAGCTGTGGACATGGCTAAATCCCACAGCTAATCAGCCTGAGGGTCAGTCCCACCCACTCAGGTACCAATAGCAATCAAGATTTAACTATAACAGCAGTAATAGGAGGGCACACACAACTCATACAAGGGACACTCCTGGGGCATCTGGAGCAGGTGACAAGGAAGACTGTGTCAGGGGCCCATAGGGCACCTACTACATAAAGCCACCCAGCCAAGACTGGGAGATATAGATCTTTTTAATACATAAAAACAAACACAAACACAAAAGGGCAGCCAAAATGGGGAAATAAAGAAATACATCCCAAATGACAGAACAGGAGAAAACTCCAGAAATAGAACTAAACAAAATGGAGATAAGCAAACTCCCAGAGACAGAGTTTAAAGCAATGGTTATAAGAATGCTCAAGGAACTCAGTGAGAACTTCAACAAAGAGGTAGCAAGCATAAAAAAGACATAGAAACCATAAAAAAGTAAGAAGTAAATAACACAATAACTGAAATGAAGAATGCACTAGAAGGAAACACCAGCAGACTAAATGAAGTAGAGGATCAAATCAGCAATATGGAAGACACGGTAGCAGAAAACACCCAACTGAAAAGTGAAAAAAAAATCTATATCTATATCTATACCTATATCTATATCATCTATATCTATCTATCTATCTATAGATATAGGTATAGATATAGATAGATATAAATACAAAAAAATGGAGAGAGTTTAAGAGACATCTGGGACAACATAAAAAATGACAATACTTGCTTCATAGGGGTACCAGCAGGAGAAGAGAGAAAGTAAGGGATTGAGAATCTATTTGAAGAAATAATGATTGAAAACTTTCCTAATCTGGTGAAGGAAATAGACATAAAAGCCCAGGAAGCACAGGGAGTGACAAACATGATGAACCCAAACAGGCCCAACACCAAGACACATCATAATTAAAATGGCAAAGGTTAAAGACAAAGAGAGAATCCTAAAAACAACAAGAGAAAGAAAACTAGTAACTTATAAGGCAACTCTCATAAGATTATCCACTGATTTCTTAACAGAAACTTTGCAGGCCAGAATATGATTGGCACTAAATATCCAGCGTGATGAAAGCAAGGACCTACAACCAAAACTACTCTGTCCAGCAAGGAGGCTATCATTTAAAATCAAAGGACAGATAAAGAGATTCCCAGACAAGAAAAAGCTAAAGGAGTTCATCACCAAACCAGTATTACAAGGAATGTTAGAAGGATTTCTTTAAGATGGAAGAAAAAAAATCAAAATTATGAATAATAAAATGGCAATAGCTACATATCTATCAACAATTGCTTTAAATGTAAATGGATTAAGTGCTCCACTCAAAAGACATAGGAGGGCTGAGTAGATAAGAAAACAAGAACCTTACATATGCTGCCTATAAGAGACTCATTTCAGCTGGAAAGATACACACAGACTGAAAGTAAAGAAATGGGAAAAGATGTTTCACGAAAATGGAAAAGAAAAAAAAAGCTGGAGTAGCAATACTTATAGCAGACAAAATAGGCTTTTAAAAAAATGCTATAGCAGGAGACAAAGAAGGACCCAGTAATCCCACTTCTGAGTACTTACTGAAGAAATTCAAAATGCTACTTCAAGGGGACGTGTACTTCCATATGTTCACTGCAGTATTGTTTACAATGGCCACAATGTGGAGGCAGCCTAACTGCCTGTTGATGGATGAATGGATAAAGAGGGGGTGGTACATATATATTGGGTTGTCGGAAAAGTCATGACATGTTTTTGCAATGAAAAACATAGAAAAAATACGCCATGGCTTTTCCAACAACCCAATACAATGAAATATTGCTTGGCCATGAAGGGAATGGATTCTTGCTATTTGTGGCAACATGGATGGACCTGGAGGGTATTGTGCTGAGAGGAATGTAAGGCAGAGAAAGACAAATGCAATATGATTTCGCTTATGTGCAGAATCTAAACAACAAAACAAACAAAGCCGAAACAAACTCATAGATACAGATAACATTTTGATGCTTGCCAGGTCAGGGGGCATTAGGGGTGTGGGCAAAAAAACAGGAAGGTATTAAAAAGTACAAATTGGTTGTTACAAACTAATCATGGGGATGTAGGGTGTAGCATAAGGAATATAGTCAATAATATTGTGATAACTATGTATGGTGTCAGATGGGTACTAGATTTGTTGGGGTGATAGATGGGAGGGCAGGGTGACAAAGGTGAAGAGATTAAGAAGCACAAATTGGTAGTTACAAAATAGTTGTGGGTCTGTAAATAAAGCATAGGGAATATAGTCAATAATATGGTAATAACTGTATAGTGCCAGGTGGATGCTATACTAGTCAGGGGGATTGCTTCATAAATTATATAAATGTCTAGTCACTATGCTATACACCGGAAATTAATACAAAATAATATTGAATATCTACTGTAATTAAAAAATTAAGAAGGGGAAAAGATGAAGGGAAATAAGAGGTCCAAGTTTCCAGGTATAAAACAATTAAGTCATGGGGATGTAACATACAGCATAGGAAATATAGTCAATAATATTGTGATAGCGAGGTACCATGTCAGGTAGTTGGACTTATCATATTAGATATATAATGTTGAATAACTATGGTGTACCCTTGAAACTAATATAATATTGTATGTTAAGTATATTTTAATAAATATATATATATATATATATATATATATATATATATATATATATATATATATATATATATATATATATATATATATACACACACACACACACATATACACACACACATATAATTCAATGAGTGTGCTTTATTTATGAACACTGAAATTTGAACAAATTATTATGTTGTTATTTTGGTTTTATTCCCAATCATTTACAAGTGTAAAAAACATTCTTTGTTCATTACCTGATTTGACTTGTGGGTTGGAGTTTGTTGGACCTTGTCTTATAATTATTTTTTAAACCTTTATAAGAGTTCATTTGAGCCAAGCTGACAACATATGCCAGGGAGCAAGATCTCATATGCTCTTGTCAGACCTTGCTTCAGATAATGAAATTCTTCTTTTAGCATTTAAAGTTATTATATTGTAACCATGTATTTGTCTTTCTCACCATTAGATCATGAGTTATTCAAAGGCAAGAACTACATGTTTTATTTTGCATTGATGATACTAATATAGGACTTGGCCTACTTTATAGAAGACATAATAAATGTTCATTGTCTCTGTGGATGATGTCAATTGTGGAGAAATGGCATTTA